TTTCACAATATTTTACTTTGAGTATGTCTGTATACTGTGTCAGTGCAAGTGTTGCAAAGACCTTGAGATTGAGACTGATTTAACAAACTCCCACAGCGCCTTATTGCCAAAACAGCACACTCCAATCCAACACAATCAGTTCTCTCCTCACAAAGGCTTCTTTTGTACAATTGTCAAAAATATTTAAATAATCTTGTGTTGCTTATTCCATGTTGCCAATCTTAATCTCTTAGTGATGTATTGATCATCATTTCCAATCACGTTATCAGAGCCACATCCAAGTTACCCCGAACAGCCCTTATCAGCCTGTGAATTATAGGGCCACACAGTGTACATTTTTGGCTCAAGCTCCAGGGAACATTGCTGCGTGCTGCTATTACAGAGGGCCGTTTTCGGATGCAACGGTCGCTTCACCAATCCTCGCCTTGACCACTCGCTGCCTCTGCCTGAACATGGTCTGACTTTCATCTGCGTCCAACTTTTTAGCTGATGCCACAACGCTGGATCAGGGATGGCAGTTTCACATGCTGATTTTCGTGCTTCTGCTTTTGAAGTCCCCACAATCTTTTAATGAGAGGACGTCGGTCTGCCTTGGCACATCCTAGTACACTCCGCCTTCTATGTTATGAATGCATGATGATGGCATAATGGACCATCAGCTGCTGCACTATGACTGAGATAGGCTTTATATTTGCATACTAAGCACTTGAAAGCTCATACGGTTGAAGAGAGGGAGACATTGTCGCGAGTTCATTCATGCGCAAAGCCAGTCGGGGACCACATGTGTACAGTATGCCCCCGCACACAATAATGCTTCACAAGGGTAGCTCATACATATTGAGCAGGTTGGTAGCCGTGCTTCAAACTCTCTCAATTATGAATCTGGTGAGGAGCGCTGTTTGCTCACACCTCATTACATGCCCCCTCCCCCCTTCTGCGATTTCTTCACGGAAAATGCCAGACGTTCATTTAGCCAGAAGTGGTTAACATTTAGGAAAACAGCAGAAAAAAAATCACAAGGGGGAGGAGAGGTATGATTGTGTCAAATGAATCATCATGGAAAAAGAAGGCGGGAGGAGGTGGAGGACACTCAGCCAGATCTCAGCAGCCAATCGGATGACACGATTACTCACTGGTCCTCCGCAGAGAAGCTGCCCTTACATACCGATATATGACATTATTATGGGTAGCGCTCGGATTTTACAAGTGAACTGATTCTCATGGTTACTGATGGCATCACCATGGTAACTGATGTGGCATGGAGTGAGGCTGCTTGTGAAAAAATGTGACAGAGGATTGAGCCTTGTAGTGTCAGTAAACAATATGGAGCTAGGAAGATTTTATGAGTCGGTAAGAGGGCAGAACCAATTGAGATGTGTATCAGAATAGCTAGCTACTGTGCTGTGCCACTACTCAGGGTTGTCAATAGCGGAAAAAATCAGATATCAATTTATACTAAAACTACTATTGAAAGTATCAATATTGAAAAGAAATCACAAACAGGACACGAAATTTGATCAAAATGAGAACTAGAGCAAAATATTGTGGTACCATAAAATGTTGGATTTTTATTTATGTAGAATTTAGCAGCTCATTGTTCACATTTGATTACAATATTACTTACTTTATAATAACTTATTATGTCAAAGTCATATTTAACATTTTTATATTCCAAGTTGGCCGCCACATTACTGTAGTGCACTGGTATGTGCATCAAAAGATTTTTCCCACTCAACAGCAAAGGCAAAGTAAGCAGCAAGCACCAGGACGGCAGATGAGCATTTAAGATGACAAGTCGATTTCCAAATAATTTGTGATGGGCCTGAGGATGCTGTGTTCTGCACGGATAGTTTAAGGTCAGAGTGGGGTCAGCGGAGCGCGCCCGTTTGTGTGGGTCTGTTTACTTCTGTTTGCATCTCGGTGTGTCAGGATCGATATGAGCGGAGAATAAGGAACTCTGCTATACATGCGACTACATTCCAGGGCCAGGCTTTGAAAGAGCTATTGATCACACTAGTCTCACTCAATACGGCTCTCTTACTTACGCTCTGCTCTCCCAGACGAGTTAAAAAGTGAAACTTCTGCCATTCAAATATCAACCCGGATGTTATGTATTTGTGCATATGCTGTAATGTAATCTACACTACATTCCACTGAGTTTTTCTTTGCCGGGGCAGGAGGGTCTGTTGGACAGTTAGTGTCTAACAAAAAGGACTGTGGGGATGATCCAGGACACTTTAACATTCTACAACATGTATGGACATTTATCAACATGTGTTCTGTATTCTTTTTGTGTCTTAACTGTTGATTCTCTGATCTGTGTTGGTGATTTCAATGGTTTTGTTAATAGGGGTGGGAACCTAAGGGTACCTCACGATACGATACGATACACGATACAAAGCTCACGATAACGATAATATCATGATAACGATTTTATCACGATATGACGATTATTGATATATTGGTTAGAAATATACAATATGCCAAATTATGGCATAAATAAAAGAAAAAATACTCTATTTCATGATAAATAGAATGGAGATGCGTAATGTAGCCATATATTAAGTATTGATACCAATTCAAAAAAAAAATATATATATATATATCAATTTTTTTTTTTTTTAATATCGATACTTGGCAAATGCATATCGATAATCGAATCGCGGGAGAAAGTATCGCGATATATCGAAAAATCGATATATCGTCACACCCCTATTTGTTAAGTCCTCTGAGATGACTACTGTTGTGATTTAGGGCTATACAAGAATAAAGTGTATTGTATTGTATTGAACATAATGATAATGTATGTTGCAATGAAATATGCTTCAATATATTCCTCCCAAAATCCTTGCTTTTCTGAGTAACCCTTATCCCATCCCGATGCTGTAATAATCCATAGCTAATCCATAATTATTGTAAGTGCTTCCAGTATAATAGTGGGATATTTAGGTTCATCATTCCTCTTGATGAAAGATATTTATTGTTTTCATAATTGTTTCTCAATGCTCTTCCTGTTTGTGTCTCATAGGTCAAGTTACTAATGTAGACATAATGTTGTTATGTACTGTAAGTCGGAAAGTCAATTGGACAATGCATCACTCATAATAGACATGAGTTTGTCTAAACAACAACTACACTGCATCTGAGTACATAAAGACTAAATTTGAGGTCTTCAAAGCCCGAGTGGTGGTTATAAATATGTAGTGTAGGCTATCATTTCTAGGGGAGTGGGTGAGTCAGACTAAAGTATCTTGTGATAAGCTGTGAATATTACATCCTCATATTTTCTATTGGGAAAGAAATGTAGCAGTTTTTATTTTATATTCTATATCGTATTTACAGTCTGTATTACTGTCTCATCCCTCAACAGTCTGTCTGTAGATAGATCAGACAGTGAACCTTGTAAGAACCATAAATGAGAACTTTACCGACTAGTCGCTATTTTAATTTCTTGGAACTTGACACAGTTTCATTTACACTACTTAGATCAGAGTTTATCTTTACAGAACATTTCCAACATTTGCATTTTCTACTAGAACTTGGGGCCAAGAGCTTAGAAGTTAAAACTGGGTCCTTTGACAAATACTTTAGCAGCATATTTACGTTGACCATAAGTAATATACAATATTTCTGAAATAACTTAATAGTAAATGTAGGCACCGTTGGCTTGTTTTCCACTTGACCTTGACCTCTACTTGTGATGCTATTTAACCTATATTAAAGGACATTTATAGAGTATGCCATCGCTTTCATTATTACCAATGGCTATCAATTCCATTTCTCATTGCTCAGACCACAACCGACTCCTCAAAGTGAGCCTCAACCTACACATCCTAAGCACACAAACCCACACCCTACAAAGAGAAGGAGTGGGAAGAGTCTAAACCACTTTGGAACTCAGAAGGACTGAATAACTTTTTGTGCGACCAGCAGCAAAAGAACCAGAGAGCATTCTTTCAAATGTAGGAAGACCAGCTTGGGCTAAATTAGGCCGGTCACTTCTCCCAGTGAATGTGTGTTTGTTGTTTGTGTACATGCTCTAATTGGACAGTGTCTGCATATGCGCGGGCTACACAAGGCCAATGAGGCCACTGCAGACAGTTTAATGCCTCCGCCGAGAGAAGAGGTTCAAGGACACGCTGCTCACTTGTTCCATCACCGTCTCACTCTCCCCTCACCTATTTCACTTAGTTGCACTTCCTGTGGGATATTTAGTAGTCCTTTCACTCTGTTCCATTAGGAAGACCAACCTGGCATCCACAACGACAGTAATTAGTGTCTAAACCATTGAAGAAGAGCAATTAAGAGTAAGCAGAAAATGTGCTCTGCCAATTCAAAGAGAAGGCTATCATCATACATTTTCATTTTGACACATTTGATGCTAATCGAGTACTGCCGGGATAATCATACCAATTTCATTCAGTAAAGTCTATAATATCTGATCTAGAAAAATAAAATCAAGATAAAATTAACAAAATATTTATAAAAGTGATTATTAAAATGTACTTGACAATACTTGATGGTTATAACAATGAGTTACCAGATACTGACTCAATACAGATACAAAATCTTGCAACTCTGGAATCTGGTATAAACATATACCAGAATAAATGATACATGTTTTTTTTTTTATCACTTGCACAATCTTTTTCTTGTTCTGGACATGTGTATGTGTATGATGTATGTTCTCTATTTTGTTTTGTATCAAATTTAGATACAAAATGATCTTATATAATAATGTTAATAATGTGTAAGCATGTACCTGGTGTATGTATGCACAAAAATATGTATTGGGATTAATTTGGGTAATTTTTTCTAATTTAATCTAATTGACTGGACTTATATATCAGACTATATATGATAAATGATATATAGCGAGAAAAACACCACCGTCTTTAGAGTTTCTTGCCAACAGATAGATTCAACGAAACCAGAAAAACGTTTTCAGTAGAATTATAAACCATGCATACTAAGCTTCATTCTATTCCTGTGTGTCTCACCTGGCTGCACAACACTGATGCCCAGCAGGTTGGAGGTGCGGTTGGCCACCCTGCTCCAGCTGTTGTCATAGTTCCTCCTCCACAGCACAGCGGTACACTGGTATTTGCCCGCCTCCCGACGCCCTGCTTTGGTCACGGACAGGCGGAAGTTAGTGTTTGAGTGAGACCGATCCACGGTGGTCCTGGTGCCCAGTCCTAGCAGCTGCTCCCCCCACTGCAGGGTGCCCTCGCGAGTGAACGTCACCAGCTCTTTGAAGCCATCTCCCTGGCCCTCCTCCCCCGAGTCCAAGCTGGCTGGTTTGAAACGCCACGTGACGGAAGTGGGCACGCGTGGGTTGTGTCGAGGCTTGACCAAACACAGAAGGTCGAAGGAGTCTCCAAATGTTATATACGGTGTCCTGGAGGAGGCGGATACCACAAAAGAAGATTCTGTAGTGGAACAAAGAAACAAACAATATTAGCATGGCTTATTAATAGAGACCCATCCAAATAAACAAATACATATAAAATACAAATAGATACAAATGTATATCTACGTTGCAAAAAGTCACAATACATTGTTTTGACAATTGTTTTTGTATAAATATACTTTTATCTTTAAAATACATATGAATAATTAATATATAAAGTCTCCATACAGTACATACAAATAGAGTGGAAGTGTGGTGTGTTTAATACAAATAATAATAATAATGCATCGGTTTAATATATAGTTTTTTTTCTTTCTGGACACTCAAAGATGTGTGTTTCTTGAAGGTCTCCCATCACAATACTAACCAAGCCCTGCCCTGATTAGCATCTGAAGTCTGCAGGGATCATGCTTTCCCATCAGTTGGCGGCACGAGTGAGATCTCAAAATCTACAGTGGATTTCAAAGTTGATTCGAGGATTGTAATAATCTGCAGAATCGGAGCTTCAAAATGAGGGTGACAACACGTGGGCTGAGTTACGTTAGATCATAGAGAAAAAAAACTCCCCAAAAAACAAAAAAACAAACCTGGCAAATTTCTGTTTGTCTATTTAATTGGCAAACCGGTAAATCACTTGGCCCCTAACAAAGAACCAGCCTTCATCATTTCACATTCGGTTGCTATTACTAAAATTAGGGCGTGAAATAGCAATGTACACTTACTAACTGAAAAGGCCAATATTGTGAGGCTGTTTATACATAAGCTACACGTTGCCCATAAAGTGAAAGGAGGTTCAGGCTTTCAGTGTCTGACTATTATCAACTATCAGTTCCCATGGCTTACTGTATGTGCACACAAATCTTGGCACAAACAACTGGCCTCCATATTTACGATTTCTGTGCCCGGCGCTTTTGAATTATCTATTGGCAGCACCCTTTATACAGTCGAGCACAAACATAGAGTTTTCCTTTGTCTCCATATGACACCATCCGTGGAAGATAAAAGGTTTGCTATTGTGAACCCCAATGATTTAGTCCACTATTATTTTGTTCTTTTTTCAGGCTGCAATCACTTCTCTATTGACTTCAGTTTAGTCATGAGCTTGGAACACCCTATACATTTTGTCGGCCTATTGTATTTTATTACAGTATCGCTAAGTGAGAGAGCTACTAAAGTCAGTGATGCAGATAATACTTACTCAAAGTGCACTAAGGTCATATTGACAAACTATTCGAGCTCTCTCTATAGTTTTCTCCGGCGGGGTGCCCACTACACAGCCACTTTAAGTCCATGATACTCGTAAGTGCAACAGAAAATGGTAAAGCAACAAAGAAAAAGTTGAGGGGAGAGATATCCTCTAAGCGCCAATCTATGTCCAACTGCTTGCCAAGTCTAAACTCCCTCATTAAACTCACAGCCTGGCAAGATACACCTAAACTAGAACATTTAAGCACAATTTACTGTACCGGTATCTCCCCTTAGACCAGTCTCCCTTTCGAACATACTTTAGTGTGTCAATAATTTAACATTGAGACAAATTTAGCAATGCATTTGTAAGTACGAGGGCGATTATTACTAACAATTATTTTGATAATCCAATAATCTCGGCATATTCCTTTGACGATATTGATCAGTCATTTAGAACACAAATGGGATAGTGTCTCTCAGCTTCTTCCATATAAAGCTGTAGTGAAGCACATCCTATTGTTTTCTGGTTTTCATGACATGTAATTGTGGCTCTGTTAAAGCCATAAAATCCCATCTCTTATGATTTTGGTGTCTTTGAGCAGTTAATAATTAATCGATTACTAAAAATAGTTGTTGATTGTTGGGGAAAACTTGGTTAGTTACGACTCATTGTTACAACTCTAGTAAATACCAGTCAGGGAAAATCACAAAACTGCTAACAAATGGTTTGCTAGAAAATATGTGCCAACAAACAGATGGCAGAAATTCTAATAACTGCGGTAGTCAACAAGATAAAACTTCCCAATACAGTTCTATTCTTGTAAATCTCTGTAATAATGGCCTTTCTAATGAGGGCCAGTCTTGCGCATAATCCAGGTTCCTCAGGAGAGTGATTTTGGTCACACATAGTCCCACTGCCTGACACTTTGCAGATTTCCAGTTGAAGTTCAAGTCGATCGCCCTGTCACTTTCTCTCTCCTTCCCATAGCCTCTCACTCGCCCTGACAGCTATCAACTCTGGTGTCCTTCAGGGGCGCACAATCAATGACATTCTGTCCCGGCCGGGCTGCTGCCGTCGCCCATAATTCTCTAATAGACAATAACTCTCCCCTCTGAGTCTATTCCTCACTGCTTCCATTTCTTTTTCCTACTCAAGACAACTGTTAGGACAATGGAGAGCAGCAAGCACAAGTAGGCCCATCACAGTGACTCATTTTGACTGTTTGATAATGATTGCGTTAGCCGATAGATAATATTGAAACTAATATAAGCCTGACGCAAGTACAATAAAGCAGGATAATCATCTTTTTTTTCTTTAATTAAAAAGCAAGCGCTAAGAAACTAACAGCAGAATTAAGTCTTATTTAGCCAAATTATGAATGAAAATATAGGGAAATCTAAAAGGATCAACGGAAAGCAAAACAAAATAAACCAATATATTATAAAAGGTGGTGCAGTTCTCAATGATTTAAAACTATCAGAAACATGTTTTAGGTTTTCCTTTACTCTTGATGAGTGTAATTGTGTTTAATCATTCACAATGCGCAATTAACTCGGAAATGCGGGTTCAAACTTTTTTTTTTAGCTCATGAACTATTGGATTTTCAGAATTTCTTATCCTATAACAGCCCAATTAAATCTTTTTCTATAGCTGTTATTCCCTATAGGCAATTAAACCCCCCTCACAACCGCAGACACCCTTGTGGTCCTCACAATTAAGCAAAGAAAACTTCCCATCGAGTACCTTGTCGTCAAGCCAACAAAGTTTGCTCCCAAAAGGATTCTCTCGCTCTTACGGTTTATGGCGGAGGTCAGAAAGGTGCTCCCCACCTTGAGATGACCACAGAACATAAACAGCTCTATTCAACCATATGTGAACTTTCAATTGTTTGTTATTAAAGCATGACATTTTACATACCCACATCTCACAGTGGTGGAATCCGCACTGAAGAAGTTTAAAACTACACTTTAGAGTTGTCCCAAAACAATTTCCATCATTGCTATCCCCACAACGGAAAGTCAAGTGCATCTGCTCGATCTGCATGACAGATTTGGGTCCAAAAAAAAAGAGAGAAAAAAAAACAGCATTTGGAGTGTAAAATGTGAAACCGAGGATGAAAACAAATCTGCAGTGACCGTCACAAGCCGACGCACTTTAAAAACTCTTTTGATCAAGAAGCATGGCGGACCAGAAGTATAAAGAAAGGAACTCCACATCCTGTCTTTCTATTTGCATAATGTGTCCCTTGTTCTTCCCAACTAATGTTTTTTTTTGTCCTCCATTGCCCAAACTTAACAAATGGCCACTTAAAAAAACTGACATGTTCTGTCTCGCTAATCCATCCGCTGCCTCTCTCCCTTCTCTCTAAATGTGCGGCTATGTGGTCTGCCAGCACTGCTCCGCTCCACTGGCTTCCCTCAGTCCAAAGATGTCGGGTTTTAACTCAGCTCTGACGGAGGGGAACAGCAGACTGTGAAACATATTGCCACTGCATTTCCATTCTAATAATTTGACCTAATCCATATGCCTGTGTGTGTGAGAGTACTTTGCCACAATAAACTACTGCTCTTGATGCTTGACAGGTGGCGGAGAAAGTGTGTCACAATAAATCCCCCCCCGGAGCAAGGCATGAATAAAGCATGCTGTATTATGCTATGTAGTCGCTCATCAGTCGCTAATCACAAACATATGCCTGTGTTTAATTTTGTGTGCGTAAGTAGACAGACAGCCTCACATGTTTGCACGGGGCATCCAGAGAGCTAATAGACACTGAAATGTGCTCTGAGGTGTAAACACTGGTCATGACTAAGCACCTTATTTCTGGTTTGTAAGTACTGACTAATGACATCAGATACATGTAAAAAGAAACAGAAGGAGATTATCTGTGCCCACTCCTCTATGGAATCACACTAAAACTTCCTTGTGTAAGTCCATATGTATGTAATGTGGTTGATATATATTGATAGATGTCTTAAAAGTGGTTTGGACTCATGAAACTCTGCAGTAAGAGATTCAGAATAGAGCTGAACAATAAACTGTAGATCAATTCTGCAGTAGGGGTGTGCTAAAATAATTATTGTTTTGTATATAAATATTGATAATTTTTTAACAGATACAGTATTAACTGTTTATTTATTTATTTATTGAGATATATTGATGTTGTAAAAGAAGTGTGTGTATGTGTAAACCCACACATTGCAAACAAAAGCATGAGGCTGAGAAGATTTATCAACAACCAGTCTCAAAAAATGAGTTATTAATAATAATTGCCCCTTTTCACAGAGGACAAGAATAGGGGCCAGAAGACTATTGTTCACAGAATTGTGTGGAATCTCTTGGAAATCTCCTAGTGAATTGAAGTGCCCTTTATCTAGGTGTGTATCGCATCGTGGCCGATGTAACGAGATGCGTGGCCTAATTCTGCGTTCACCAAGTGCATGGTTATTAACTGGTGTTCAGGAGTGTCCTGTAAGACTTGCATTATTTCCACAATATAATAGCAGCCACAATTATAAAATTATATTATTATTTTGTAAAATAGAAAGTCCCAATATTGCGATCTTCTCTGATTACTGTATGAGATAAAGAAATATGTATAGCAGTGATTAATGCACCAAAAACTCTGCAAAAACTTTGTCCTAGAGTAAAGTAACATTGTGGAAATGTTGTTAAAAGTTGTCCGGTGACATACCCACTGTCTTGACGGAGATTTTCTTGCTGTCTGACTTTTCTCCAATATTCTGCCAGTTTATCTCCAGTTCACTGCCCGTCTGCAGCCATTCGGTCGCCATGCAGCTGTAGAGTCCCTCATCACCGGGCAAAGAATTGTAAATGGACAAAGTAAAAGTACTCCCTTGCACTTTTTCCACTCGGATGTCCCCGTAACTCGCTCTTTCTCTGTAGTTTGGACTATGCCACACGGCGCCATCTCGGTCCACTGTTGCTACTTCCTCGGGTGGCCCTTTTGAGTCTTTGTCTGTCCAGTACCACACCACTGACAAGGGGCCTGTGGTGGTCTGAACCGTGCAGGTCAGCTGGATCACATCCCCTTCCAGCACGTCGGATGCGCCACTGGTCATATTCACTGTGATGTTGCTTTCTGTTAGGCAAAAGAACAAAACAACACAATGCATTATAAAAAAGATATCCAATGTTGTGACAGCTTAGCTAGAGAAAGTTCCTTTTTTAGTTACAGAACAGATTTGCCAAAGGAGTTCTGGAAGCCTTGGGCAATAAAACAAATCCCTTTTCACTCGAAGACAACCTGGAGCATGTGTGTGTTAGTGGTGGGAATGCTGTGCTATGCTAACTAGCCTAGGGCACTCACAAGGAGAAGTCAGTCAGGCTTTGGCAGGTTGCTATCAGCGCATGTGGGTTAGCTTGCTCCCCTCGATAGTTGACCATGTTCCCTAGGGCAAAAGATGACTTGGATCACGCCACATTAAAATTCAGCTCAGATCAAAAGAATAACGTACTGCAATAACGTCAGTGACCATCAAACGATACAGGCCTTCGACTAAAGGACTGCGACTCTAGCAGTGGCGATCAGTTTCCTTAGCTCCCTTTGGCCAGGCTCTGCAGCATGGTGCCTCACTAATAATCATAGGCTCTTTGTGAATAAGAAATAAAGTGGATCCCTGATTTTCATATGAACAAAGAGAAAAGATTTCCCAGCCCATTTTAACCATCACAGTGGACTGATTTTTTCTCCCGAACTGCACAGTATTTTGATATTATTTCACAGCTTGGGACATCTCTGTTTTGTAGCCGATCAATGCCAATAGTGTATGCATGTAAATTGTGGGATCTGATAACTGCCTTTGTCTTCTATCTTTCTCTCACTGAATTGGGTGGTGGGTTGCATAGACTGTATATAGATGGACATGTTGCTAACCCGCTGGCAATGTCTATCTTATTACCAATTCCCTCGCCTTACTGTCATCCCTAGAACAACAAAAGGCAATCCTTGACGAGACAAAGCTTTTGAAATGATAAAGTTTCAAAGAACTATAAAGTACACCTGGACATTAAAAGTCCAAATGAAAAGTCTAGGATCATTATGAAAACAAAAGCCATGGCCAAATCACACATTTGTTTTGTTGTCTGCCATGGTTGCCGCACATTTCCACCCCAACTTTCCTACTTCCCCACCTTTTGGCCTTTTAGACCTCTAGCTGCTTTGCAGTTTTCAGTGGGCAGTGTCTTTGACTCTTGCTGCCTCCTGGCCTTGACTTCGGTCCTCTCCGTGTGCACAATATGAGATTCAGTGGAGCAGGTCTGAGCCATTCTCTGCTTCTCTCTCCACAAAAAGGTAAACTCATCCATCACCGGCAGTTTGTCAAGACTGTTTACGTCTGCATTTCCCTCTGCTGTCACCTCGCTCTGCCACTGACTCATCAACTTTAACCCTGTCGCTGCTTATTATCAAATCCCTCTCCGTTATACCAATTAAAGTGATAAAGCACGCCTCACAATCTCATCCCAGATATGGCCAATTTTTGGAAGAAGAAATAAGCTAAACCTGACCCCTGTGTTTTATGGAAGTTCATATTTGCCAGCAGCGGCTATTATGCTGTGTAAACGTCATAAACATCTTTTATGAGGCGATAGGGTCTTTCACTGAAAAAACAAAATCGGCTATAGCGATTTACAGGTTTTTTGAGGACACAAAAAGGTGGAGTGGTTACCAGTCCTATATGGCAAATGTAAGGCACAGCTTAGGAGCCTGTACCTTGTCAGAAAGCCATTATTCAAGGGTAAATGCTATAATGCATATTTTTGGTATAATTACTTGTCGCCTTGTCATCAAATTACTGGTATAACTAGAAACTTGCAATGGCTGAAGCCATTGCGATTGACTGCGGAACAGATCTAATGTGGAATTTAGCTGAAAAATCCTTGAAATCCTTGAAACTGTTAAAATACTTTAAACATCTTTGAAACTCCTGAAGTATTTGAAGCTCCTGATATCCTTTAAACTGTTATCCTTTATACTGGTTTACATGTAAAAACCCCTATTAAGTTGCATTATACTGGTTTACATGGAAAAAACCCTATTAAGTTGCATTATACTGGTTTACATGGAAAAATCCCTATTAAGTTGCATTATACTGGTTTACATGTAAAAATCCCTATTAAGTTGCATTATACTGGTTTACATGGAAAAATCCCTATTAAGTTGCATTGTACTGGTTTACATGGAAAAATCCCTATTAAGTTGCATTATACTGGTTTACATGAAAAAAACCCTATTAAGTTGCATTATACTGGTTTACATGTAAAAACCCCTATTAAGTTGCATTATACTGGTTTACATGGAAAAATCCCTATTAAGTTGCATTATACTGGTTTACATGGAAAAATCCCTATTAAGTTGCATTATACTGGTTTACATGGAAAAATCCCTATTAAGTTGCATTATACTGGTTTACATGGAAAAATCCCTATTAAGTTGCATTATACTGGTTTACATGGAAAAATCCCTATTAAGTTGCATTATACTGGTTTACATGGAAAATCCCTATTAGGTTGCATTATACTGGTTTACATGTACAAATCCCTATTAAGTTGCTTTATACTGGTTTACATGTAAAAACCCCTATTAGGTTACATTATAGTGGTTTACATGTAAAAATCCTTATTAAGTTGCATTATACTGGTTTACATGTAAAAACCCCTATTAAGTTCCATTATACTGGTTTACATGTAAAAACCCCTATTAAGTTCCATTATACTGGTTTACATGTAAAAACCCTATTAAGTTGCATTATACTGGTTTACATGAAAAAAAACCCTATTAAGTTGCATTATACTGGTTTACATGGAAAAATCCCTATTAAGTTGCATAATACTGGTTTACATGGAAAAATCCCCATTAAGTTGCATTATACTGGTTTACATGGAAAAATCCCTATTAAGTTGCATTATACTGGTTTACATGGAAAAATCCCTATTAAGTTGCATTGTACTGGTTTACATGGAAAAATCCCCATTAAGTTGCATTATACTGGTTTACATGGAAAAATCCCCATTAAGTTGCATTATACTGGTTTACATGGAAAAATCCCTATTAAGTTGCATTGTACTGGTTTACATGGAAAAAACCCTATTAAGTTGCATTATACTGGTTTACATGGAAAAAACCCTATTAAGTTGCATTATACTGGTTTACATGTAAAAACCCCTATTAAGTTGCATTATACTGGTTTACATGGAAAAATCCCCATTAAGTTGCATTATACTGGTTTACATGAAAAAAAACCCTATTAAGTTGCATTATACTGGTTTACATGAAAAAACCCTATTAAGTTGCATTATACTGGTTTACATGGAAAAATCCCTATTAAGTTGCATTATACTGGTTTACATGGAAAAATCCCTATTAGGTTGCATGATTACACTGAAGTCCTTGAAACTGCTGAAGTCCTTGAAACTGCTGAAGTCCTTGAAACTGCTGAAGTCCTTGAAACTGTTGAAGTCCTTGAAACTCTTGAAATCTTGAAACTGCTGAAATCCTTGAAACTGTTGAATCCTTGAAACTGTTGAATCATTGAAACTGTAGAAATGTCTGAAAGAGCTGAAGTCCTATTAAAATGCATGGGCCTATTAAAATGCATTGCAGAATTCTCAATGCAGATTTTTGTCCGATTGCGGAAAAACCGGAAATCGCTGAAGTCCCAAAAGTAATAGCAATAATCTCCCAAACATGTGGAACGTTTTGATGTATAACTTGTGGAAATTGTTGAAAATGTGAAAGCTGTGAAACGTGTCAAAAAAAATGACGGAATAAAGAAATACAAAACCAATGGTTGACTGCGGAAGGTTCCGCAGTCAATCAATGAATGAATAAATATGTATTTCTATTAAATGACTCAACAATGGCTTGCATTTGCATCATTGTGCAAAGTCTGTTATTGCTATAAGGCATTGTTTTGATATAGCTGCAAATAGGACGGCCAGGTATTAAGCAAAAATATTACCACATTATTACTAGAAACTTGCAATGGCTAGAATTATATTCGAATTTTGAAGTCGAAGGCCCTGGTGTTCCGCAGCGCTGTAGGGGCTAGAGGACGCAGGCTGGTCACTGCTCGTTCTGTGAGTGGAGGAGAAAGAGCGGCCCGCTCAGACTCTACTCAGCACTTTTCACTGCTTGTAATTCTTACACAGCTGAATCAATTACCTCAAGTTTTCAATTAAATGATGTATTATGATACAACTTGTATGTAGTAAAAAGCATTTTTATGAACTACTTAGAAAAAAAATCGGGTATAGCTTCTTTAAGTGGTAGAAAATGGATGGATGGATGTGTGACATTTTAGTCAAAAACATTTGACACGACTCAAAAAATAGTTTGCCCTAATACCATCTATCAAAGTCATGAAACATAAAAGCAGTGCAAACCTTTCCGCTCTAAATCTCTTACAAAATTAATCTCCCTTTTTTGTTTTGAATAAGATTTGCAGTGACTCCATGTGCAAGCGATGAACTCATTAATGCAAATGTAGGCAAATTTCAGGCTCAAACATATACTTTGAGAAAGCTGCACTTGCTGATGTGACATCCCCCTATATTACCTTTTATCCACATAACGGCTCAAACTTTAAATTGCTCCTGCCTTTGTCATACACTCAGTGACTCTAGCAGTGCCAGAACGCTCATTTATGACTCAGAAATGTTCGCTCCCAATGCATTTTCCTGTTGTTCCGGTATAACCTCTTGCTTACATTTTTACCCAACTCAATATCCAACCACACTCGGACATAAAAGTTGTTGAGACTATCTTTGTAGCCCACCACTGTTCTTGCATTATTTATGAGTACGAACTGTGGAAGAGTAATCACTACAACCACATCGTAGCACTGGGGTGAGTGGAGCAGTAGCTTATCTGACAAACGGAGGCAGTCGGATTAGCCCTGAAAAGAAAATATGCTGTGACGTTTTAAAAAGTGTAGAAAAGGAAGTACGCATCCGATGAGAGCCATGACCCGCTTGAGTGAGAATGCGGTGTTTGGAGCGGACAGAAAACAGACAACAGATGCAAAGGCCTGGAGGAGATGGGCTGGTCTCACAGCCGGGGCATATGTAAGTGTTTAGACTCAATTAGAGAAGGACAAGTGGTGTAACAAGGAGAACGAGGAGCGATGGAGGTAAGGGAGTCTGGGAAAGCGGCTTTGCTTTATGTTAAATGGATCATAAAGAGTCGTTAGGGATCGGAAAGTAGGTTGTGGAGAGGTAGAATGTGGATTTTGGAATACCAAGACCTCAGAGCAAAATAAATAAAAAAGTGATATGATAATTTTTGAATCAACAAACCAGAAAAATAATTTTGTCAAGCTTCAAATATATGTGTTAGTAGCTTGCTGTAGAAGCTACAAAGACACATAAGTGACAAATCTGATAAAAAGTAAAGGTATTGAAAAATTTAAGGGTGTTCTGAAATCATTTTTCAAATTTCAGATATTTTTACTTTAATAAGAATTAATTTTCTATAAATGAAATAATGCAATATGTATTTTTTGTTTTTTTAGTTTTTTATTGTATCATCAGGTTGTGAGAGATATTCAATCCTATTTAAAATCATTCTCTTAAGTAAAAGTTTAAACGAACAAGCTGTTCTCTTACACACAGTTTAATGTTCAATAATAATGACGGGTCCTAAGTGAGTGAAAGTTAAAACCCAATGAAGTCTTGCTTCTTAATATCGGCATGGCATGTTATACCTCATTTTAAATTCTTTCAGGAAAACAACTACATATTTGGTGATTGGCAACAATTCAATTAAAACATAAATCTGTAAATCAGTGAACAATACACAGCCTAAATTTCAAGTTTTCAATCCAAGCACTGTAGCAATACAGCAACTGTTGTTTTTGTTTCAATTTCTAACTTGCCTTGAGGTTGAATAAGGTGTAAAAAGTAGCATATCATCTTATGCAGGTGGTACAATTCTACAAAGGGGGAAACTCTATTCTCCCCAAGGGCTTTTACTCTCACTTCATTGTCTCTCCATCTTTCTAACTACCACCGTATAAACACGTAGACAGGAGTGAGATCAAATATACATCACCCTCAAGGAATAGCCCGTCAGGCGCCTATGTTCTATGTAAGTATCATACACAGAGAGAAGCATGCTACCAAACTAAATCACACTCCTGCAGCCACGACAACAGCCATACTGTCTTTGTCACGCATCAACTGCATCCATTATAGATTACAGAGATGGAGTGATGGAGGGCTGCAGCAGGTTCCGACTCTTTTGTCTCTTCTTCATGAGTCGCAAACTGCAAAACCTGGTCCCACCACACCCTGAACTGTGCCATCAAAATATTAGATTATAAACAAAGACCGTATGCATGGTTCTCAACAGGAGTGGAGTTCAATTTCTGAAGGGTCATGATAAATGGGGTTACTTTTTGGTGCGGATCTTGAACAAATACTATATACTTCCTCTCAGACACAGAACATTTGATTCAAAATCCTGGTAATTCTAACTATTCATGAAAGAAATACTTTAAATATTTCAACCTATAAATTATTTGCATTGTAACATAAGAGATGCCAAAGCTTTTTATTTAGCTTCAACTTTATTACAGTATTTTTAGTTGCGTTGCCATGGTTACTCACACTTGCAAAGTAGATCCATCGGAGGAGACACATTTATTGTATGGATCTCATCGATATGTGGTATTTATGTTTTAGCGTGACGAAATCACCTCAGTACAAACACAGTGCTGTCAGATAAACACAAAGCAGATCAGACTGCAGCAGAAACTGATAAAACACCTTAGAAAATGTGCTGAGGTTGATTTTCGCCTCCTCCCCAAAGCAGGAGCGATGGGTGTGTAGAACCACTAGTGATAAGGGGCCACTGTTTGATCATTAACACCGCAGAAAAGAAACTTCAAGCTTTTTTGCTTTTTTTTTTAAATAGTTGTGGTGGACTGAACAGACTTTTATCAAAGGAATTTTCTATAGGCAATAAGCTACATTTACATTCCAAAAAGGCTCAAATTATCAACAAGAAAATCTCTGCAATGTATGCAGTGGGAATCACAGTATTAGTTCTAAGACTATGGAAATATTTTTGCCAGTACAATAAAGATATATATTTTTTGTAACATAAAATAATCTCTAATGTGCAACTTTCCAAATACATTTTCTCTTCATCTAAAACTCCTAGGCCCCTGTACTGTCTAGGGGCCGAACTTGTACTTTGAAGTAATTTACTGGCTCGAGAGGCTCCCAGTGCGTGCTGCCATTGTAATAGAACTAATGCCGGGGCATTTCATCACTGGCTGCTTCTTGGAAGACAACAAAGATGCTTTCTGCAGAGTGGAGCACCGTGCATTGGTGAGCAGCCGTGGTGGTGTCTGGGGAAGGCAGGAGTAAAGCAGAGAGTGGGAGGTTATCTGAGGTGTGGAGGAGCCATCTTTGTTTCGGCTCCATCACGCCTCAGGGCCGGTAGTTTATTAGATCATTATCATAAGGCACGATTGTGCATCCCACATACTCCTCTATATAGTCTTGGATATAAACTTGACCCATCGAATTCCTTCACAAAGCACCACCCTATACAGAATTTGTGAACTCACTATTTCTTGTTCAGTATGACATGGGTGCAAGAACCATTGTGCCATGATCAGTGTGGGGTGTCAAAAATACTAATGTGACCATAGTCAAACAGCCAAAAGCTCTGTGCATACCTGAGGTGCAATTGGTGTGGATTCTGGTTAGTTGATTAATTTTTGACATTATTCATACAAAGATAAATAATTCAAATGGGGCTGCCTATAGAGTAAATACACTGAAAAAACCTCTGTCCCCAAATTTAAAATGTCTTGGACACAACAGAGGGCAAACAGTATGTAGCATTTCCAACATGAATGACAAAAATCATTTCCCAAGTAGATAATACGGGATCAGGGCCTTTCTGTTTGGAGTTTGCATGTTATTTACATGTTGGTTCTTCTGGTTTCCCCTACCACTAAAACATGTACAATAGTTCAGTGTGAATGAGTGTAAAATCAGGCTAAAATAGAACAATAAATCCTGTTGTCTGTCGGCTTTAATAAGTACTTAAAGAATTTTGATTTGTAAATTGTATATGTTTGTCATTTGACCCTTCTGCAAAAGGATTACTATTGGTAATACTGTTGGTAGAAAAGCTGTTCTATATAATAATATCTCACAGCCTTTTTGAATAGTTACTGTGTAATTCTACAGTGCCAAAGTCCTCATCTCTGACTCACCATTATTCTGTGAGTGATTTCCTGATGTCCTTGTTTCACCATTCCCCTCTGCCTTTGCATCAATTTGATAAACAACATACTTACATTTCTATACAAAAATGCTGATGTTTAATTAAGGTCTTCTTTTTGCCATTTGTGTTGTAATACATTTACGTATCAAATGAATGAAAATGCTATGCCAGCCATATTGTACACCATATACAACTTCTGTAGCTGTATTTCTATCAAAGCAACAGAGTACGTAACTAAAGTGGAAAGTCACCAGGTGAAAAGGGAACCACAGTAACAAGTTTGTTGATTAATCACAACTTATTGATTATTTAAAGATCTAATCAAATAAAAAAAAAAAAAACAGAATTTAAACACCATTTATATTTTAGGTGTTCTACCTGAAGCTACCCAAACTAATTAAAAAAATAGTACCAGCCTGTCAATCTTGCAGCTCAACTCAAGCCAGCTCTTGTATTGGATCTCTAATCTACTCTTCAAACTGCAACATGTGTACAGTGTCACAGGAGTAAAATGTGTGTTTTTGTATGTCATGGTTGTATGATTGTTGCCTATGGAGACGGAGGGGTGTATGCAAAACGCCATAAGTCTCTTCAACGCACGCCCACACAGTTTAGAACAGCTCCAATGATTCTTGGATGTGCTGTAATGTTGCTCATCAAACAGACACAAGTACAAAAGTGGAGCTCTAAGGAGGTTAAGTTAAGCCCTTTTTAGTGAGTTAATGAGCTTAGTGCCAGATACTCATCTGCAATCCAAAAAGAGTCAAACCCACATGTGTGCGAGTCTGTCAAAAAACATTTCTAACAATGACGCTCAAAGAACTGTATAATAGAATTGCTGTGTAAATCTTTGTCATTTGTATGAAAGTGGTGATGAGAAAATCAAATCCTCTGGAATAGAAATGCATGAAATTAACTGGCCGGACATTTGCTACTGTAAAGATACTTACATGTCTACAAGCGGATTTTAACCTATTGCACACTCTTGTAATAATTACATTATTATATAAGCAACCAAATTGTATGTGATGTTATAGTCCTAAAGTGAATCTTGCCCACACGATAATTTTAGGTGCTACGATTAAAACTAGCATTGAAAAGAGGCTATGGCTACCATGGCATGCTTTACCTCATGTTAAAGCTACTACTATCAATAAACAACTAAATTATTGTATTTATTCTAAAGTTTTACCTCTTAGAATTAGTTAAGTCTGGCAAGTCCTCTTTATTTTCAGTCCCATTTTGGTTCAATCTAAACAAAGAATTAATAAAATCCTTTATCTAACAGAAAACAATATCTCGGCTCATGTTAAAGTAATCCTTTTGTCCTTAGAGTACTGTTTGATTACTTTCAGTTCATGTTAATAACGATTAATATTACCATCACACAAAATAAAAGTAATAAAAAAACTCACTCACATGTTATCATTTATGAGGTATAATTGTGATTTGTGATTGTAATTTGTTGATTCTAATAATATAAGATTCCACAAAGCTCCTTGGCTTAACATTCACTCCTTTAATAAAGCAATGTATTTTTATCTACCTTTTGTTTTTTCTAAAATGTAATAATAATAAATCGTTTTTAAGTTTTTTGTTTTTTAATAAATATGGGTTTTTACCAAATAGTTCAGATGCATTAAGTGGGATGCCCCAAAGAGGTATATTTCATTTCCAAATGGTTGAGGAAAGGGTAAAATTGAAGGGTTAAAAACAACAGCTGTAAAAGTGCATCTGTGTGAGAATCTTGGAGAATCTTGACCCTTGACCTGAGCCTTAGTCCTTACCAGTAGGCTGAATGCGGAGCTGGGTCTTGTCGCTCTGCTTGCGCGTCATGGCGAACCAGCTGTCATCAGGGTCCTGGATCCACTCTGTAGCCTGGCAGTACAGCAGGCCCTGGTCCACCGGCTGCAGCATGTGAATGGTGAGTCTGTACGCTGTAGCACTAGTCTTATCCAGCCTCAGGTCCCCCGCGGCCATCCTCTGCCTATACGGCCCACCAGAGCGCAGCACAAAGTCTCGCGACAGGGTGACCAGCTCCTGCGGCGGGGCAGAGGCGTCCTCTGGGGAGCGCAGGTACCAGCCCACGGACAAGTGTGTGTGCTGGAGGGTGGTCCGGGACACTTCACAGGTGAGCTGCAGCGTGTCCCCCTCCACTTTGGACAGAGTCTGAGCAGGTGCCGTGACCGCCAGCGAGTCAGCAATAACTGCAGAAAAGGGGAATAAAAGACAAGAGGAGGTCAGCATTAAGTGCTACAGCGAGCGGGTAAATAACACTTTGCAGAGTTGTGGAGCTCAATTTAGAACTCAAGGAAGCTTTTATAAGGGATGGTTTTCAGGGCCTTGAAAGGGTTAAAACAACATAATGAGCATTTTATTTCCATTTTAGATTTCCATTTGACAATAAAAAATGGCATTTGGTAAATCCCTGTGGATTGCCACTGACTGCAAAAGTGGTGAAACAGCGTCAAATCTAGATTGCATATTCCAAATACAAGATTGCATTGCAAAACGTAACATGCACAAAAGATCTTGTAATTCAATTCAGTTTATTTTTGTACAGCAGTCATCTCTGAGGGCTTTACAACATTCTCAATTCTAGATCAGAGAATCATACAGGAAATCCAATAATGACAAAAATACATAGGGGCCATTGATCCATATGAAGTCATGTCCATAAAGGTCTGACAAATGTCCTTAAAGATCCTGAATCAGCCTGTCCTTAGACCCTCCTGCATCGGCAAGGAACGACTCAAAAATACATTTGGAAAGATTTTAGAAACCTCAGGGAGGCCTACAATGAGACAGGACTAAAGAAGTCTCGGCTGGGGCCAAAAAAGTTATTCAATCTTTAACATGTGGGAGAATAAATACTACAATTACATTATAATTTGACAATTACATTGCATTTCGAATAGAGACCAAAAAACTTGCATATTTCACACCTCAATTGGCACAAACACGTTTCCATGTGTCATAAATGAATTACATTGGAGAAGGTTCAGAGTTTGGTTTTCACTAATGTTTTGTCAAGGCACCAATCTACTCTTTGTTCAACAGCTTAGTGCCAGTTTAGTTAGATGAAAATCAGCTATTTCTACATTTATCTTGAAGCAAGCATATGATATTGTACCAAGTTTCGAAGTTCATCTGAATCTTTAGTTTTTTTCTATGCAATTAACTGTTCATTAGGGGTTTGCTCTTTATCTGACATGGAAATAAAATCCAGCTTGTGTTGCTGGATGTGCCATTATGCAAGGTTCTGAATGGTCAAAAGTGAGTCATGGCCAGATCAGAATGGAGGTGTGTGTGGATGTATTATGGTAGGTTTTTGTGGAGGGGTGAATAGGTATGAGTGGTAGATCACAGCATGCCAAGTGTTACGCAAGAGGAAAAAGCACTCAGCTTGCATTGAAGTACTGGAGGTTTACTGTGCAAACCTGGCTCTCAATATCGATAAAAGTAGTAGTAGGAAGTAAGAGGGTGAAAAGGCAACGTGAATGCTTGTGTAATATTGGCGGGATGATCCGTAAAGAATGAGGCAATAATACACAAACGGTTGGAAATGTACCTGTGAACGACTTGAAGAAATTGATTCGTTACAACTTGGGAATTTTGAAAGAGTTTGCAATTAAGGCAAGGTTTATTGAGGCAAGTTTATTAGTATAGCCTACACAGGGGGACTGAAGATTCTTTACAAAACTAGAAAGGAAACATAATAGTTCAGGTTGTCTTTTCCCTATTTTGGCTGCATGAATACGAAATGCTGCCTCTCTATTTTTAATCCTGACTCCGGGCACCAGCAGGAGGCCAGTCCTTGTGCTCCACAGAGACCGAGTTGGTTCATATGGTACTAACATGTCACAGATGTACTTTCGTGCGAGGTCATGGAGAGACTTGTACTTATTTCATTAAATATGTTCATTTCATTACATGGGAAAGGAAAAGCAACCAATAGAGGTGCCTGCCCCCAATCTCTTTACCCGTATGACTTCTTCATGTCAGCTGCATTAACTCCTGCCCCTAATTACACAATTACACCACGTACGATTTGTTCTTTTGTAAACAAGTTTTCACAGCTTGGCATCTTTCCATACCATCTACACCTCACTATGGGCTTTGATCATGCTTACTAAACATACACACTAATAAATGAAACAAATCACTTCTTATTTACGTCTCACAAACACCTGCATGCGTTGAACGAGTGAAGAATAAAACCAGTAGCTAGACCAAAATGTAGACATCAAGGTGAGATTATTTCAGAAAACACAATACCGAACTGCACTTCCAAGTCATGAAAACAAGGTAAAGAAGGATAAAAGGAGTATTTTTAGATGGATAGGGACGTATTGTGCCGGAGAGAGAAACATAGTAAAAATAGAGACAATAGATGGGTCGTAAAACATCATCCATAAATAATAGCCATAACAAAAGGTCATGATAAATGTATCGGTGGTGCTTTTAGACAACAGCCTTGAAGACTCAATCTCAGCACTCGTACACTGCATTTGAAAAGATATGCCAAAAAATAAAGAGTTACATTTCTATAATGGCATTAAATGGAAATATAAATTCCCAGCAGGAACATGCACAATTACAACAATGGTCACAAATCAAATTCAAAGGAAATAACAAAACTGAGGCAATATTGAGAGTAAACTAGAAAATCAATCAAATGTCATAAGAAAATGGTAAATACAATAATACTATTTTTTGACTGAACAAGTCGAAATTAAACAATGAAATCATACTGACGCTGACATCAGGATGTGGAGACACCGGTATGGCTGTCTTTTAAAGTCTTAACTGTATGTTATGTTTTGTCTTGTCTGTCTGTATGTTTTAAATTTGACCTAGAGTCTGTAATAAAGTTAAATTGAATTGAATTGACTCCATAAAGTTGTCTACAATACGACAAATGAACAAGAGGTGGCCGTGTCTACAATCGGAGACGATTATGTGTCAGGAATAAACCAGAACTAAACCATGTCTCATCAGTTCAAAAAGACAACGCATCTCTCATGTTTCCTGAACTGTCCCTGAAGACCCTGAGTACCATCACAGTACATACTGTAACATTTGGATTCACACAAGACAACATTCAATAATTCTGCAATTGTGCAATAGGATAAAACAAATAGACAAAATAGCAGCTATTCTTGTATAGCATGGAGATTTACCAAGAAGCTGGAAAATAGAGAAAAGGGCTTTGTAAGGGTTTAGGCCAGTGGAGTGTTTTGTCCAAATGTTTCGGCTACTTAGGTTCTTAAGAGATTTCAGTTGCAGAATGTTGGAGGTCAATGTGATTTCTCCATAGAGTCAGTACAAAAACTGAAGCCCTACTCAAAGCATATAAGCGCGTATTGATGTGCTTTTCTGGTCACGCTAATCTCACACGTGTGAAAATGAGCCGCAGACGGAGCTAATGGAACAAACAAAGTGGAACAAAGCCTGTGTGGGATGAGAAGAAAGACATAGGTAGATTGGAGGCGGGGAGAGGTAGAGTTGACAGCTGGTTACTGGGGTTTAACTCGAGTATCAAAGGATGTGACAATGGAAAAGCAGAAGAGGCAAGGGGAGAATCGTCCAATCAGGTGGATCAAGATAAACGCAACACTTACGGCATGAGAATAAAAAGCATGGATAAATGAGCTGGGCATGGATAAAAGGTGTAGTGGAGTTCTATTCTTGGAGACTGATAAAGGGATTTGGGGAAAAAAATACTATGGTTTATGAACCATGAGTGAGCTGCATACTACAATGATGAAACATATATACATTTAAATAAGACATCTCAAAATTACAAACAAAAATAAAGCATCATTAACGGCATGGCAAGGCAAGGCAAGGCAAGGCATGTTTATTTGTATAGCACAATTCATACACAAGGCAACTCAAAGTGCTGAACAAGATAGCATTAAAATCATAAATAATCACAGAACATTAAAAAGAAAGATAAAAATATAAAATCCCTCAGTTGTATGCACAGCTAAACAGCACAGTTTTTAACTTGGTTTTAAACATAGTCAGAGAGGAGGCCTGTCTCACATCTTCAGGAAGAATGTTCCAGATTTTAGCAGCATGAATCTGAAAAGCAGCCTCCCCATGTTTAGTTCTGACTCTGGGCACTAACAGGAGTCCAGTCCCTGTGCTCCTCAGAGTCCGGGCTGGTTCATATGGGACTAACATGTCACTAATATATTTTGGTGCGAGGCCATGGAGAGACTTGTACACAAGCAAAGCTGTTTTAAAGTCTATTCTCTGAGCCACAGGAAGCCAGTGCAGAGACCTGAGGACCGGACTAATATGGTCGTACTTCCTGGTTCTAGTCAGGACTCGAGCTGCTGCATTTTGAATGTACTGCAGCTGTTTTACAGCCTGTTTGGACAGACCTGTGAGCAGGCCATTGCAGTAGTCTAACCTACTGGAGACAAATGCATGGATAAGAATCTCCAAGTCTGCTTTAGACACTATGTTTTTGATCCTGGAAATGTTTTTTAGATGGTAAAAAGCTGCTGATGTTACTGATTTGATGTGGCTATTAAAATTTAAGTCTGAGTCCAGTATTACCCCTAGATTTCTGACCTTGTTTGAAGGTTTTAGGGAGAGAGACTGTAGATGACAGATGACGCTCTCTCTTTGTTTCTGGGGACCAAAGACAATCATTTCAGTTTTGTCTGCGTTTAGCTGAAGGAAGTTGTTTTGCATCCACTCACTGATCTGTTGGATACAGTGAAGGAGTGAGTCCACTGGTCCATGTTCTCCTGCAGTCAGTGAGACATAGATCTGAGTGTCGTCTGCATAGTTATGATAGGAAACTTCGTTTCTGCGTATTAACTGACCTAACGGCAGCATGTAGAGATTGAAAAGAAGAGGTCCCAGGATCGACCCCTGTGGTACTCCACAGGTCAGGGCCATATGATCTGAGACACAGTTTCCAATCTCCACAAAGTACTTCCTGTCTTCAAGGTAAGACCTAAACCAACTTAGGGCGGTGCCAGCGACGCCAACCCAGTTCTCTAGTCTCTGTAAGAGGATCTCATGGTCGACAGTGTCAAAGGCAGCACTCAGATCTAACAGGATTAGGATTGAGACTTTGCCTGCGTCAGTGTTTAGCCGGATATCGTTTGTAACCTTGACGAGAGCAGTCTCAGTGCTGTGGTGGGGTCTAAAGCCGGACTGAAACATATCAAATGAGTTGTTG